CCTGCTGATTATGGTGCCATGTCACTACCCAGGAAGAGACTAATTGTCTCGTCTGATGTGAATCGACGTCTCCTTTGAATGGTAAACTCCTGCTTCACACTTCAGATGATGGTGGTTATCAGTCCAGATGAATAATTAGCATTTGGCTTCAACTCTTATCTTATACATTGGTTACTAGATCTTGACCTGTCATAGCATTTTCCTTGATCCTTGCTATATGCCATTAGGATAACATGTGAACGATCTGTTCTTTTGCTTGCCCCTGGCTCTAGTCCTGAGTGGTTAAGCATATAGACTTTTATTGGGACTGGTCATTTCTTTGGTGTCTTCAAGGGCTTGGTATGGTTTCATCTTTACAGGTGCTGTTGGCACGACGGAGTTTGTGGAAAAAGGGACAGATAACGTTGTCTTTAGTACATGTGAGCAAGAAAGGAATAGGGTAGTGTTCCAAATGGGGACTTCTGATGCTGTTAGGGGTCTGAAGGCTGCTCAGATGGTGTAAGTCTAACTCATTCTTTAGTCTCTACAAAGGTTGAAAAGTGTAATTGTTGCTTCAGTTACGTGCATGTGGGAAGTTAGCTGTGCGTTTCATCATGTAGGTGCAAAGACGTTGCAGTTGTTGATATCAATATGGGTTGCCCCAAGACATTCTCTATTCAAGGAGGAATGGGTGCTGCTTTGTTAAGTAAACCCGAGCTAATTCATGATGTATGATTTCTCTATGATTATCACTATTCTTTTCATTTCTATACATTTATCTGTAGTTAATATCTTGTGTTGTCTTTTTCTTCTCTGACCCAGATTTTGACAACACTTAGAAGGAATTTAGACATACCGATAACATGCAAGATTCGACTTTTAAAATCACCGGCAGATACTGTTGAATTGGCAAGGAGAATCGAGAAAAGTGGCGTACCAGCTCTTGCTGTACATGGGAGGTAAATTCAAAAGCACTTCATTTTATGGCACTATAAGGTTTAATGCGAGCATATGTATCTGGTCGTTACACTGACACAATTCGACGGTAGGGTACCATAACGTTGTAACATCCATCACGCTGTCATATGGTGATGTAGGTTTTTCCTTTGACCCGTTGTTTTTGGTAATCTGCTCCTTCGACGGATGCAGGAAAGTTTCAGACAGACCACGAGATCCTGCTAAGTGGAATGAGATAGAAGATGTGGTTGCTGCATTGTCCATTCCAGTCATTGCAAATGGCGATGTTTTTGAATATGATGACTTTTCTCGCATCAAAACTGCAACGGGTACACAATATACACTTGTCTAAAGCAAATTCAAGAGATTAGCGAGATCAGCCAGATACTTGGGTCTTATGATTTAGCTTGATTTACATCCAAGTAATAACACTCTGATGTATTCTTTTATCCCATGAAGGCGCTGCATCGGTGATGGTTGCCAGAGGAGCTATGTGGAATGCATCAATTTTCTCCCCGAAAGAAAAGCTACACTGGGAAGATGTGAAAAGGGAATACGTTAGAAAGGTAAAAACTTAAGGTTGCAAATTCAGCCGTCAATTTTTTTTTTTAAATCTGGATTAAGATTGATTCACAGATTTCGGGTCTTGATATTCCAGAGCATCTTGTGGGATAACGATCTTAAGAGTACAAAACACACGTTAAAGGAGATGATAATGCATCATTCTTGTCTTGAACTTCCTGAAGGAAAGGCCATCAACAGATCAGACACCTTGGAAGATCTGGCGTAAGTCTCTCTAACCTCCTCGACTTATGCGTTGAGCCATGCATGTGTTTATATAACCTTTATCGGAAGA